TTGAAATTCTATTGGATAACGCAGCAGGCACTATGAAGCAATATTGCTTGCGCGACGCATTGTTATTATAACGCATTGTGTTCACGTCACGAATCTCCTGCGTCTGGGCGCCACGCAAGAGTTTCGAACGGCGGTTGTGTTTGTGTCGAACGTTTTGTTACATCGAATGCACCGGCAAATTAGGGAGTATAAAGAAGGTATATAAGCATGAAAAGTAGATTGCATAGTCATGTGATGCACTAAAAACATTAATGCCTGTTGTTGGGGGCACTATGCTCTCATAGTGCCCCAACAACAGGCATTAATATATAATTAATATATGTTCAATATATGTCCAATATTCAATGTTCAATATTGACAATTTAATATGAATACAAATACATATACAATGCATACAATGCATTCATTGCACAATGCATACACTGCATACAATGCATACAATGCATACAAATACATATGCAATACAAATTCAATATGAATAATGTTTAATAGATGTCTAATTGTCATATATGTTCGTAAAATGATTATATAGGGGGGCACATCGACATGTTTCATGTATCAAATTTTTTAATGACTGAGATGTCATATATACACCATATTACATGATGCAATGTCATGAACTTAATGAAATGAACTGAATAACATAATGTTTGATGTGTATGGATGAACATGGCACGTATATCTGATGCGTCATCTAACATATATCATGACAACTGTATTCACATCCATTTCACATGTCATGAGCTTATCTATGTACACAATGCTGTATGTCTATATATAGATATATTCATGGTAGTATATTGGTTTCCTATGCTATAGAACAAATCGACTTGGAAAACCAGGATGAAGTTGACATGGGCATCGTGGCAGGTGAAGCTAACGGCGTACCAGTGTCATCCAGCCAGAAGCCTGCTCGGCTGAAACCCAGGGTGAAGCGAAATCTATCAACAAAGACTCAGGATTTCCAGGTGCGTGCACATCATTTTAGCAGTTGTATAAATCAATCAGTCTCTACAAGATAGGTAAATATGTCCACCTAGGATGTTGTTCCTAATTTGGTCAAGCTAGATTGGTCTGTATGTGTTTTCACGTGCTCACGCCACATTGTTGAGTTTGCGTCACCTTGTCCTCAAGGTCTTTTAGAACGTTCTACCACACCGATGATTGGCTAGGTTACTGTCTGTCTGTCACGCTAGGCACATGTCATTCCTTTACACTGGAGCAGAGGTGAATCATTGTTATGGGAGAATCATCGCTAATTATCATCAGAAACGAAACATCGGTGCTATCCTCTGATACGTAATTTAAAAAATTATATTAATAAAAAAATGTATAAAAAAGTTTAATTTTAAAATATAGATTACAGGAAAAAAGTACGCGCATGTTTACATTGCTGATCGTTTCAGATACGCGTCCGCGTGATGGAAGCGAGACGTCTGGTCAGGGACAACATCCATCCTGTGTGTCACGTCACTGTGGAAGCGCAGCAACGGCAGACACGCATACGCCACTCCACCAGCTCCCCCTACTGGAACGAAATCTTCTTCCTCAACTTTGTCAGTAGTCAGGCAGAGCTGTTTGAGGAGCTAATAACGTTCAAGGTTTGTACGTGTAAATCGGGCGTCATTTCATAGATATTTTTTTAGCGTCATTGTACATGTAAATTTCACAACTTATTATACAACATGTTAGTTTTATATATAAACTAGATAGGAACTCATCAGGAGTGAATAAAAACAATTTCTATTTTATTCATTCCTGAACTCATATATGAACTTTATGTCAACCACAAACCTATAAGCCCTATTCATCACAGAGTAAAATACATAGTTTATCAATAACCATGATTTTTCATATCATAAGGAATGGTGTATTTATTATTTCAGATGCACTATGTATGTTTATAACATAAATTAAGTTAGAATTTGTTAATTATTATTGTAGATATTCAACTCAAAAAAGCTAAGGTCGGATTCCTTCATTGGCCAATTCCAGGTAAGACAACCAACATTTACATGTTGCTGTAAGTGTATCTATCTGCTAAACACACTATATACATCTAACTTTGTCAATGGTGGACCGCCACTAATGCTTCACGTTGTGTGTTCATCCATCTTGTTTTCTGGGTACTTTTGTACTGCACAGTGTGACGTGGGAACAGTTTACGACAAGCCCCGTCATGCACTGCTCAACACCTGGCTGCTACTATCTGACCCTGCAGACAATATGGCCGGCTCCATGGGTTATCTCAAGGTCAGCATCTGTGTCCTTGGCCCAGGAGATAACCCACCGGTGAGTGCCTACCACTTTTTTGTAGCTTGTAGTTGCTAATCAATAATCATGCAATAGTGAATTATATGGATATATCATGGCCAGTGTTTTTAATTTTGCATGCGTAGTGCACAGAAGCATGGTGTCATTTTGCAGGTAAAGGTTTTGTGTTTAGTTCACATCGCGATGGAGGTTAATGGTTGTGTGAATTCTATAACCGGTGCTCGTGATCGAGTGTTGGCTTAAAATCTCGGGAGAGTGCAGAAGCTTTGTTTTCACCGCGTTTATGTTTTTAGAACATGAAGTCATCTAGAAGTGATAAGGATGACATAGAAGGGTAAGTGCTGATCGATTGAACTAGGATTATGATACTACTTACTCTCAACTATTAGTATAATTAATAGTATAAATACGCACACACTCGCACGTGCACATGGATGCACGCACACATGCACATCACAGATTAACTGATAATCGTTTAGTTTTGGATTATGGATTGGATTATTACATTTAGACCAGACGTGCAGCATATATGCATGTATCAGCATATGCAGATATATGTGACCTGCTATTGCTTACCCTTAACCTGACCTGCTATTTGCTTATCCTGACAACATAAAATCATTACCGTGTACGTACGTGTGTGTTTCTATCGGTCAATCGGTCGATCCCTCCTTACAGGAACCTACTCAAGCCGGTTGGTGTTCAGCTGACCCCGTCTACTCTCACTCTGAGGCTGTATCGTGGCGAGGACATTCCCCAGAGTATGATCCTGCATTAAACCTATTATTATTATTATTATTATTATTATTATTATTATTATTATTATTGTCTAATGTATCCGGCTACGTGCTAATTACTGTATACGCCATATTTTTCGAGTACAGATACTTCGCGAGTGGTTAATTTCGCGGTCGGTGAATTACGAATTATTCGGTATTATTCCGTATGAATTATTCGCGTTTCGCGGTCTGGGACGCGTTCGCGAAATTCGCGAAAATTAAACCACCGCGAAATATTCAGCGTATACAGTACACCGCGGCGAATCAACGCGAGCGTGGTAAGGCCTACATGTGAATCCAGCGTGAAGCTAGTGGGGAGTTATTGTAGAGCTAATGTCGAGAATGTGTTAAGCTGGTTACGAAGCCTTTTTAGAATGGGTGTAAACCGAGTGAAAACCCGGCGCGAAGTTGGTGTAAAACCCGTGTGCCGCCCCCATGGGACCCACTCGGTGTAATGCGGCGTTATTATTATTGTCTAATATAGCTGTACCAAAATTAATAAACAATTTGTCTTAACATTACTGTTGCAGTGGACAGCGGTTTCGGTGAGGGAGTGAAGAGAGTGCTCGGCATTGGAGAGGAGAAGAAGGAACTCGTGGACCCCTACGTGACCTTCCAGTTCGCCGGGAAGAAGGTCTCATCACGCAGGGAGTACCACAGCGAAAGCCCTGTCTACAACCAGGAGCTGAAGCTAGGCATTCGGGTTCGTTACAGTGTGAATGGCTTGTGACTGGCCGTTCACTTGTCTGAAACATCTGTCTGTTTCCCTGTCTGTCTGTCTGTCTGTCTGTCTGTCTGTCTGTTTGTATGTCTGTCTGTCTGTCTGTTTGTCGGTCTGTATGTCTGTCTGTTTGTCTGTCTGTCTGTCTGTCTGACTATCTCTCTGCCTGGATAGTCTGCCTGTCTGCCTTAATTTCTACCTGCCTACTTATTCACACTTTTATAGGTATTTTTCTAGGAAATTTACATTTTAGATGCCGATTTCACTGTACTTCTCCAGTCTGTTCACTACAGACAATGCTTCATTTCTACGAATCTGAGAGATGACCTCTATGATGATAAATGCAAAATGTTTACTTTCTAGTCTCAACGTGTAAAATGCTTATTGGAAATAATACAATACGTCTATAAAGTGCCACTGTTTGTCATTGCAGTTTCCCTCAATGTGTGAGACTGTCAAGTTGACAGTATTTGATTGGTAAGTTCGAAATTTCCATAGTTTGTTTATGTTAAATTACTCTTAGCAAATAATTGTACTGCCTGAATATATATATAGCAGCTAGGATGCTTTTTAACAACATTGCAATATGCTATAACTGCTAGATGTTGTTATTATCGTTTTAGCAGAATTTTTGATGTACACTTGTTTTACACACGACAAATTGTATTCATAGATTCGTTTTGAGAGAGTATTATAATACTATAGAAGTATTATTGTCTCCACTATATACCCTACCTAATGAAGAAATAACCAAGCACATAATCCATAACAGGGAAGGTTTTGTTCCAGGAATGGTGCATGATTATAGTTTAAAATAGGCATCACCTGTAGACAGGTTATGTGTGAATTAAACACCCGTACATGGCAATCGAGTGACCATAGGCTACCTCTTGGGAAACTTGATTGATAATTACTGGTTTCAGATTTTTTGTTTGCGTTTTCACTTCATGGACCTTATGAAAAGAAAGACGTTGCCTCCAGATCTACATCTATCGATCTCTGCATTGTGTGTGTGTGCGTGCGTGCGTGCTTGCGTGCGTGTGTGTGTGTGTGTGCATGTGAACATGTAAAAGCGATGCTGAGATATCAATTTACATCTCAATCTAGTTATAAATCGACATCTCGTAGACAGGCTGATATGGCTTTTGTTAGTAGCAAGGATAAGGGCATAACGCACGTATATACCCTCTTGTGGATGCTCTTTTGTTGTTGTTAACCAGGGACCGGGTTGGTATGGACGATCCGATTACATCTACACATGTGCCGATGGATAAAATATCGGCACCCGGGGAGCACTGTGGTACGCAGGTGTCACTGCAAAGCTTGAATCTCTCACTAGAGTTAAATGGCTTGCCACATTTGCACATAAACCACGTGTGTCGTGCTGGAGCAAACGTTATTATATTAGTTAGCTTTAAAGTGGAATTAACAGATGCTGCGTGGACTGGAGTGTGCACTGGGGTGATCTAGCTGCATCATCTATCCCTCTTTCCCTGCCGTTGAAACAGTTATTAGCATGGCTAATATAGTGTGGATGCTATTACCTGGTAAAGAGATACCCATGTTAATTGAAATGGTGCATGCTCATATAGTCAATGTTTCTAGCATTTAACATATTTAGCTTATCCTATAGGCTTGCAGAGACTGTTAGATAGGAATTTATCAATTTAAAATAGCTAGTTGAGTTAAAGAATAAAATTCCGTCATTTAATGTAACATGTCTTAGTAGTGGAACTCACACCCCAGCCTCTTCATCCCGAGGTTCTTATTGCTAACCCTTAGGCCACGTGTTACAGTATGTTCGTCATCTATACTCCATAGCTCAATGGCATCGAGTGATAAGCTCGTACATCGATCCCACACGGGATAGCAGCAGTGGATCTGCATCCCGTAGAGATGGTCGGGACCTGGTTCACACACGGGGGTAGTACATTAGATCTGCGTCCCATAGAGACTATCCAAGCTATCCCATTCATACTTGTTACATTGTCTGTACGTTGCTTGCCTTCACTCGTAGCTTGAAGAATTATAAGCGGTAGATATAGAGGGTGAATTGTTCACTTTAATTTAGGGATAAGGTGACGGCAGATGATGTGATTGCAAGCAAAGAACTGGAGGTGTCGGCTCTATCCTCGGCTTGTGATGAGCATGGTATTGACACCGCCCAACGACATGTCCTACCATGTCTTGTTTTCTGGCAGTATCTCTACATAGCATAGGATGCATCTTACCCTGTGCGCACGCATTGCCTATTCTTTGTATACTACTTCTTAGTGTACTCATTCTACTACGTGTTTTCTATGCCAAGAAATGTTCTGTTTCTTATGTGAGTGAGAATTAATGGCAAATGTTGTGGTAAATAAATAATATTATATATATATTATATATATATATATATATATATTATATATCTCGAGCAGAGCCGAGAGAGAGAAACAGCAGAGCAGAGAGAGAGAGAGAGAGAGAGAGAGAAGGAGAAGAAGAGAGAAGATAGAGAGAGAGAAGAGAGACAAGAAGAGAGAAAGACGAAGGAGACAGCAGAACAGGAGACAGAGACAGAGAAGAGATAGAGAAGACAGAGAGACAGAGAGACAGAGAGACAGAGAGACAGAGAGACAGAGAGCCAGAGAGCCAGAGAGCCAGAGAGCGAGAGCGAGAGAGAGAGAGAGAGAGAGAGAGAGAGAGAGAGAGAGAGAGAGAGAGAGAGAGAGAGAGCTAGAGAGCTAGAGAGAGACAGAGCAGAATGGTTCTTGGAACGATGTTTGCACGACTAAGTCTACATGTGTAGCCCTTTGCTCTGCCACAGGTCGCAACTTTATTCAATGGTTTTTGATAAAATATGTGAAGAAATTGTGTGTTTATTATGTGAGCATTAAAATTTAAAGCCGTTATCCCATTATTATGTAGAATTTATGAAAGGCGAAAGTACAATAATACAGGACTTAGGACTTTAGACAGATGTTGTTGTTGTGTTGTTGTTGTGTTGTTGTTGTTGTTGTTGTTGTTGTTGACGAACATAGGCGTGCATTTAACTGCACGTCAGCATGCCTTAACTGAATCACCCACTTTGCATGCAAACTGCAAGATTGCACCGAGTGAATCTCTTTTATATTTTTGCTTTGGCGTGTGCTTTCTATGCATACAAATGTGTTTTCTTTCGCATATCCTTGGTATTATATTTGTTATTTCGTCGTTCTCGTACATCGCGTTATATGAGATAAGCGTTAAAGTTCAATATTTTATCTCATGAAACTCATTTTTAGATTAAGAGAGAAAATGTATTACTGGTGGGTGTAGCTTTTTATACCTACAGTGGATATAGGAACATTCCATGATTTGCTCTACACATTCTTATCTTATTTATCAAAATTCTACCTTAAATCCTACTGACACTGTTAGCATTTCATAGTTTAATAAAACCAGTATTATTGTTTTGAAAAAATAGTAAAAACCAGTGTCCATGCTTTTTTACAAATATAAAGCTTTAATTGTGCTTTCTAATGAGATATCTTCCCAATTACTTATCAAGCAACTAAGTTGTATATGTTGTTGTGTTTAAGACTCGCTGATCTCTTGGCTTTCACATTATTTCTCAAGTCTTCCTGCCAGCAATAAATGTAAGTGTTTTATTAAAAGCAACAGACTGCTGGTCGTGGGTAGACAAGGTGTGCTTGTGTTTAAAACTCGCCTTGATCTTTCTTGGCTTCCTTCGGCAGGATTCCTTCCTACCTTTGGTCCATGTTACATCAACTTCTATGGCGCACCACGGGAGTTCTCCGCTCTTGTCCCAGAGGAATTCAACAGCCTTAATTTGGGAGAGGTAAGCAAGTTGTTCCACACCCGCTGGCGTTTGTCACCTGAAGAGATCTTTACTGCAACGTTGGTTTTATCATAAATATATATGACGTGAAATCGTGAGTTCGTTCATATTTGGTTCGCCGTATACCATATATATCTGTCCATATATATCGACTGTTACCTCCATGTGTGCACATACATGGGCCATGCATGTGTAGTGCATACATGTGTGCACACGTGTACGTGCTTGTGTGCATTGGTGGGTGGGTGCATGTCTGTCTGCCTGCACATGTATGTGAATGTGAGCGTGCATACAGTAACACATATGCATTTGCGTGGGTGTGTGGTGCACACAGCTATGTATTAGATATGTTGCCACATAGATTTCTTCACGGACGCGTAAATGTAGACTCGTACTATAAATACTGTTATGTGAGAGTAATAACAGGGTGTCTGTGTTGTAGGGAGAAGGGTGCTCCTACCGAGGCAGGCTGCTGGTGGAATTAAACACTCAGCTGGGAGAGCTGCCTGAGCAGCCGGTGGTTGACATAGCCAACGACGACGTACTCTGTGTTCAGGTGTGTACCATGTAACAGCTCTCTATATACGGTTTATCGTATGAACTAGCCTGGTAAAGATATACAACACCTCAGAAGACTATTCCTTCTGCTTTTTAGCTGCAGTTCCAACTCTTCACACAAAAGTAAAATTATTCAGAACCACTACACAGCACCTCAGAACACTATTCCTTCTGCTTTCTCTGATGCCTAATGATCGTTCATGCGTCATGTTCGTTGTTCATGCAGTCGTTCATGCGGCGGCGCCACTATCGCCTGCACGTGGCCTTCCTCAGCGCCACCATGGTCAGTGCCGTCGATGCACCTGTTGAATTCGAGATCAGCATCGGTAAGTCTCATTCATCGCCATGGTAACTGGTATTGGTTGCAGTACGTATTGGCGCGCGCGTTGGGAAACTGTGGAAACTTGGGAGAAGGTGAAATTAGTGAGTCAGTGAAGATCAACAAAGAAAACCAGTGAAAGATGTGAATTAATTTGATAGCCTATTATCTATGTATTACCTTGTTATTACCCTATATGATATAGATAAGTATATTCCACTGTCCTGCTGCGCGCTGCACACATAATGCAGGTCAGAAACTTCAAATAGCAGCAGAATTTTTCTCTTTTCCAACTGTGTTATCATGGCAGTGTTGCTAGACACCGATGTGTCAACGATGCGCTAACACCTGTAACGGTAAAGATGTCCGACCTCAAGCGAGTCTTCTGTCATCGCCATGTAGGTAACTACGGCAACAAGCTCGACAACAACGTGCCCCCGTGTTCATCGACGACGCAGCCGACCAACGCTGTTTTTGACGGCTCCAGCTACTACTTCCTGCCGTGGGGAAACCTGAAGCCGTGCGTGATGGTCGACTCACAGTGGGAGGACATCTCCTTCCGGCTGGAGGCACTTAACATGCTGCTGGCGCTCGCGCGTAATCTGGTGAGAACCTCAGGCTGTCTCGACGGACGACACAGGAGGCGTTATCGGAAATGTCTCAGTCATAGTATTAGCAGGAGAAGCGTCTCGTAATGTTAGCTGGTCAGCTGTTAGTGAATTTCTTGATTGATTCTGCTGATGTATATAATGCTCACGTTTTTTGCTCAAATGTCTGTCACTGCATCATCGCTGTTTGAATTTCATAATGTGAATTTTCATTTAGTGATGATGAGGATGATGATGATGATGATGATGATGATGATGATGATAATAATAATGATAATAATAGTAATATTAAGAATATTAATAACGCCATTAATAACATTTCACCAGGATGTTGTGATACATAGCGATAACCCTCGTCCATACGGTGTGTGATTTCAGGAGAGGCATGTTGAAGGTTTGAAGGCCGACATCAAGGCCAAGGTCGCAAAAGAGGTCCTGGCCACGAAGATCATTGCTATGTTGGATGGGCTGATACAACAGGCAGGGTAAGTACTGCAGTCTTGCTCAGACAGATAGGTCAATTGCTACATCCCTATATCTCGGCTTTCTAACTGTAACACAGCTCTTAACTGCATTTAGGATTTTAGCGCTCAAATTTGCGTTGTTTCTGTATGCTTCTTTAGGTATCTTTGGTTTCCACACTGTTGAAGCAGAGTTAGGAAGCTTTGATTACTCCCAGGTTTTTCTTATGTCATCGTACTGTATTTATCATTTTTAAAGCCTTTATTTTCTCTACACATCTAAGAAGCGTTTAAGGCTCCATTTAATCTGTCATTTCATAACCCTAGCTACTGTCCGTATCTCCGGTTTTGCAAACCATTGATGCACATCTAGAAGCATTTCAATTTGGGAATTAATTTAAATTGAATTAATCCTCGAGTCTTCCCTCATGTCGTTGCGTAGGAACCCTCTCCCTGCGCCTGTCCCCGGTGACCACCGGTCCAACGAACTAGATGCTCAGCTCGCAAAGCTGCGTGAGGAGCATCTCTCCGGCATTGTAGAGGGCGCCACCAAGCTCAGAGAGACGGCGACGGATGTTGAACAAGTTCTGGTTGCGGTTGAGGACTTCTTGTCGCTGCTGCGTCAGTTAGCGCACGAGGTTTGTGTATAATATAATATTATTCATTAATAAATATATTATAAATTATTAAATAATATTACATGTATTACATTTACATATATTAATTGTCGTTATATATGCCTCACAATTGAGGCAGCAGACATCACACCAGCATACAGGGTTAACATATATGAGCACAGACATCATGCCAGCACACAGGGTTAACATATATAGCACAGACATCGACACAAGCATACAGAGGTAACATATATGAGCACAGACATCACCCAGCATAACAGGTTAAACATACATGAGCACAGACATCACGCCAGCTATACAGGGTTAACATAATATGAGGCACGAGACATTCATGCCACACAGAAGCATACAGGGTTAACATATATGAGCAGCAGACATCACGCCAGCATATCGGGTTAACATATATGAGTCACGACAAGCCAGCATATCAGGTTAACATATATCAGCACAAAGACATCAGTGGCAGCATACAGGGTTATTACATATATGAAGCACCGAGACAAGTCACGCCAGCATACAGAGGTTAACATATATGACGCACAGCACACACGCCACTCCGCATATACAGGGTTAACTATTTGAGCCGAGACTCACGGACTGTCCAGCATACAGGGTTTAACAATATGATGAGCACAGACATCATGCCAGCACACAGGGTTAACATATATGAGCACAGACATCACGCCAGCATACACAGTCATAATATGAACACATATACCAACACTAAGCACACAGTCAAAAATATGAACGACAGCTAGAATGCCAGGGAATATTTAATGTTACACAATGTAATTACTAGTATCGCGAACACCCCCTTCCTCACGACATTTACCATCCCTGCTTCTTGTACACTTTCTCGCTAAATCTTCTATTTTATCTTCCTTCTTTCTTTCCTTCTCCTCCTCTCTCATTCTCCTCTCTCTACTCTTGTGCTTACCTTTACTCCTCTCCTCTTCTTATTCATTCTATGCTCCCTACTCCTAAGCATATCTTCTTCTTCATTTTCTTCTACTACTCCTTCCCCCTCCTCCTTCCGCTCCTCCTTCGCTTTACTTTGGTTACCTTTCTTCATCAATTCAACACCCTATTCACGCAGTCTCCCCCCACCACGTCTCCAATCCCATCCTTCTGGCAGACGAATTCATCCTTCGGTAGGCAGGAATCTCCTCTCTGCCAAACCCAGTCGAAGAGAAAAGAAAATCCTGGATTAGCTAAACGTTTGTCCCAGTATCATTCACGGCAAGTTCTTGACTAGTATGTAACAATGTTAACACGTAGACACTAGACATATTTAGCACACAACACACTCCTCCCGATACCCACTCACCTAATCCGCACTCACACCCAGACAGTCCAGAAATGCGACTCACTTAGTGATGCGAACTCCAGCTGTTCATCATCACGATCCCACACTGCGGCCAGCCCACCGGCTGCTTGCTACCACCACACACCCGATGGGCACTACGCACACACACCCATCGCACACGCCACACCAGCACGGCACGCACGCACGCACGGGCCAACGCACGCACCGCGACGCCAGCTCACGCACACCCGACACCACCACACCCACCACACACACCCACCTACACACACACACAAGCACCGCACCACACCGGCCCGTATATAGGTGTAGAAAGTTAAATTATATTAGATAAGGAATTGTATTATGTATTCTATAACTTCCATTCGAATATACCATGTATGTATTGTATGGCTACATCACATTCGTCGATTGTCCATAGATTTAAGCAGATCCCAACACGAATAACAGTTTAATGTCAGAGACGCCGTAAGTCATTCGAACCCGCAACAGGGGCGATGTGCACAATTCAAAGTACACACATTCTATCATAGCTACCTCCCGCACGACGTCAGACGCACGGTATGCCAACAGCTGTGCGCGTGACTCAAGCCGATTCTGGCAAGTCCTCATCTGACACCTCGGGAACGCATCCCTCTCATATAAACTTGGTGTGACGGCATCACGAATCAAAACTGCATGCTATATCAGGCGAGCACACACATATCGCTCATGTAGTCTAGCGCCACTACTAAGTATACTCAAAATTCCGCAGACAACTGACGCCATCCTCCGCGAGCGAGATAACCGTACCGCCTTCGACTATTCTGGATAGGTTCGTTTCAAACTACACGAGTTAAACATGTTTTTCATGCGGTGTTCACTCTAAATTTTAACTTCCAAAAAGCCTAATGCATGATGTTTTAGAAACATCCTATCTCAATAAAGATTGATTACTAACTGTCTATAAGATCCTGGCCATGGATACATTAATTCTAACATGCATATGTGTTCTCGGAAAAACTCTCGGAGAACTACATCACAATACAGACTAATAATCAGGTTCTCTATTAAATGACATGAATTCGTACATATAATAATAATCTATGATATATAATTTGAGTAGTGTCGTTCTGTTTGTTTCCGCATAATCTTCTAGGCCGCGTGCGACGAATCCGGTTGAAATTTTCGTGCTTTATTCCTATCGCATCAGGTTCGATCTAAACACTTGCTATTTTGTCATTTATTGGGTTAATATGTTTAAAAAAACCAATATTTAGAAAGATATAATGGAAACATCTCCCTGATAAACTATGCACGAATTTACAGTTCAACATCCGCTAGGTGCGCTGGCTGATAATGACCTTACTAAACACGCAACACAGGCTATAAGGATACAGTAGTCTGTCGGCGTACCTGCTTGCAGTTGGATTCGCCCAGGGCACACGCGCTGCTGTTGGAATCAAGTCTCTCCCGCACCTGCAACGAGCTCAGCACTCGAGCGCATATACTATCTATCAATCTATGCTATTTTGCTATCTATCTATCTATCTCTATCTATAATATTCTATCTATCTATCTATTTAATCTATCTTATCTATGCTATCCATTCATCAAATGGAACCTTGACCCTTGAACCTTGGGTGAAAGGCACTCAAATCAATTTAAGGGTTCCACCTAAGTTCTTCACGCAAGTTTGAAGTTTTCTAACTTCTAACGGTTGAAAAATATCGACAGACAGACAGACACACCACGCACCGCACGCGCCGCGCACGCACACCACACGCTACACCACACGCAAACACGTCACACGCACCGACGCACACCGCACAGCACACACACACATAAACCACACACACAATACACACAACCAGCCACACACACCACACACACACACCACTCACACACACACAACACACACACAGGCCACATCATAACACGCAACACGCACAGCACACAAAACGGCGCGAAACCAAATTACGTTCCGCTACACTATCGTCAGAGGATATAAACTAACTAAATACTGCGAAGCGTTTGCCTACAGTTTTTCGCAATAGAATCAAGCCCCGTTAGTAGAAACCTGACGGGCAAAAGACAAATAGATTGTATTAAGCCTGGTTTCCGTAATTAACCAGGCTTCAACGATATGATTAACACCGAATTAACAAAACAAGGTGCGTACAAGATATTTAATATAGGTTATATGGATAATAAGAACCTTTAGTAGCGTTAAATTGTTCACTAAATAGATACAATTACTGCAAAGCCTAAAACTCCCTCATTCAATTACTATAGCAATTCATTACTACAGTCCGCACCCCATTAGTACGAAACTGACGGCCAAAGAAAAATAATGGCGATTAAGCGGGTTCCGTATATTAATTAGCCTTAATTTGAAAAGAAAAACAACTGGATGTAGAAGGTGTGTAACAAAGTGTTTTATATATGAAATGAATATACCGGGATCAGAAAATGTAATGTTTAGTAACAGGATTCTTGTATTATTGTGCTAATCAATATTGTTACTAAAAGATTAACATGAATCGGCCAGGATGTTAGAGAAATCATCTATCTCATCAGCGTAACGAGCGAATATGCCGCCGGAGGCGGCCATTTTGCGGAGTAGATATAAAAGGCCACATAGTTGTGGTAATAGATGTATAAGCTAGGTTTGAGTGGCTATAAAATAAGTAGTTTAATCGATTTGCACCATGAATAAAATAAGAAGATTTGCTAATTTGTACGTGTATTATGGAAGCAAATAATGAGCTATTATTTACTCCTGATATGCATCCATGCAGGGTAATAGGGGAATCACAAGACCATATTGACTGCGAAGACTGCTGACTTCGAATCACATTTCACCACGAAGTAATGAGTTGGCAGTTAGTTTTAAATATCGTGAAGCATATAGTCTATACTGCCGATATATTCGCGTTACAGACATGCTTCATTTGTGTGGTTTATTAATACTGATCTCAGGACTTATTGTAACCAATCTCCTACAATCTCCATCCTTGAGGCTCACAAAGCTGTCTTTTGCAATTTGAGCTATGCGAAAGAAATCATGGCATTAGGCAAATTAAGATATCATTATATATCCACATTACAAAAAATAAGACTACATCATACCACTCATACTCCTACACAAAATATACTCTAGATCAAAATATCATACATTATCGTGTCTTAATTGGCATAGTCGTATTGGTTTTAGAGTAATTTGGAGACATAGCTTACTAATGTTTGTACGTACTAACAGAACACTGGATATGTCGCAGCACCAAATTCACCAAGGTATAGGTATGAAATACGCGATTTTACTGATAACCTGCTTAGCTTATATGCCATGCATATAAGAAATAGAAATTGTGAACTGGTTAATGTTTGTTAACCTTTGGCCAACTACATCATGACATTTTGATCGACCGCATGGTTGGTGGCTTTGTTAGTCCATTTAAATCCCTGGTATATATCATTGGTTTTCATACTGCAAAGATCAGAGAAATATTCATATGCTAACAGTACGTACAACACAAATCTTAAAGAGTTGACACATGAATTCAAGCCATTCACTGTGAAAACATATTTCACCCATGTGAAATTATATGTAAGTATTCTGCAATATCTATACAGATTCGTACTCATACACGAAAAATGAAAAAAATAGTCATGCATCAGTATTCAGTACTGTGAAGGATTTTACAAGGCAATAGATCATATGAGGCAAAAAGGCAACTCCATTTCCTGTTCCAATTTGAAACATGCATTATAAGAGTTAGGTAGAGAACAAATGCCATGGCACAGGATGGACGCGACGGACGGACAAGACAGACAGACAGACAGACAGACATAGAAGAATCGATATATAAATAGATGTGTACCGTTTCAGCAAATACTGCCAACTCTCCATCCACACTGTGACTGGTGCCATTGCTGGTCATACTTAGACAGGCAAAGCAAGCTCAGCCTTAGATGACAGGGCATCGATCTGTTTTCCGCAGCCAGTCCACTCCCAGATACTGTTATACGAATACGTTTTAGCACCTGCTTTTACATAACATATTATAATAATGTAATCCAGAGCAGAATCATAAAAGAAAAACGAACATTGGTTCGCAATCTATTATTTGTCTTACGCGTAGCATTAAACAAGATTGAGCGCGTACATCTGTACACAGTTTTCACAACAGATGTTGGAAGTTCACTATAAGTGGTGGCAGTTGTCACAAATTTTTTTCCTGTAGTTTCAAAACTAGTAATTATCAAGGTTTATTCAGGTTGTAGTTTTCACCTAGCAGCTAAACTGCAAAATTAATGATGCAGCAAATGTGAATGTTGTATTTGAAATAAATTCGGAATTGAACTTTAATCAAAAGCAAAAGAACGTAAAACAAAGAAAAATATACAAACCAAAAAGGCTAACATTATAAACTATAGAATCATAAGATCAAATGAAATCCCCAAAAGGCCAAACATTACAACAAGTATATCGAAAACAAAAGAAACGAAAGAGAACGTCGTGTTACGTGCCTTAGATTCAGCGTCTGCACTTTGCCGACAGTGTATTCCTGGCAGCGGCAGGGTGAGAGGGCGTAGAGGCACGTCGTAGGCTGGTATCCTATAGTAGGCGATTGCGGCGGTTACCACTAGCATCCACAACCAACCACGTTCCGGTAATGACTGTCTGAGGCTGAAGTTAGTGGTAGAATAGTGAGCTTTAGTGTTACGTATGGAATACCAGCAGCAGCAATAGCAGTAGTAACAAGCAGTAGCAGCAGAAGGCAGCAGTAGAAGTAGCAGCAAGCATGCTAGCAGCAGCCAGCAGCAGCACAAGCAGCAGAAGAGCAGCAGCATCAGCAGACGCTGTACAGTAAGCAGTACGTAGAAAAAACAGGAGTAAAGGCAAGCAGCAGCAGTAGAAGCAGCGCAGCAGCAGCAGCAGCAGCAGTGATAGCGCAGTAGCAGTAGCAGTAGCATTAGCAGTAGCAGAAGAAGAAGAAGAAGATGAAGAAGAAGGAGAACAGTAGATATCGTAGAGATGTAGGAATAGAAGTTATAGTTATAATAATATTAATAATAATTACAATAATAATTATTAACAAACTATTTTTTGCATGTGCTTCATTTATCACACAAAGAACGCTAACTGACTGTCGATAACTTGCACACTACATTCCCCGATGCACTTATACAGTCTAAAAACTTTACTACCATATTGATGTGAAACGAATTCAGGTAAAGAAAGAAATAGAAACATGAATAGAAAAGAACAGAAATTAGTTAAATAGACATTCGTGCACTGAGGATCGGAGTAAGTTTGCTGTGAGGCATATATAACGACAATTAATATATGTAAATGTAATACATGTAATATTATTTAATAATTTATAAATATATTATTAATGAAAG